TTGTTGGTGCTGAATAGCTGTTTCAGTGCGGAAGAGGACGGATGTTCAATTTTCCTAGGCCCCAGATGTAGAACCCAGTGATCACAACCTTGAAGTCATGGTACCAAGAAGTCAGTGAGTCAGTCGTCCGACACGGCAGCCCTTCGTTTTTGCTCTCAAAAGTAGGCCCAACATCTAACCACTGATAATATATATATATATATGTTTATATATATATATATAGGTTACATATATTGTTTGGTAGCTACACCATGTAAATGCTGGGTTCTGATGATGACTCAAATATGTTAATTAGACGTATCAGCAGGCCTGCTCACATTGAGATGTTATCCTGGCCTTGCTGCAGTTCAGCAAGCCACTTACGGTCATGTTCCGCAGCTTGCACATCAACAAGCTCATGCATTGACATTCACAAAGGACAAGGTAGGGCCGACAGGGGTCCTTCCATATTTTTTAGAAAAAAGAACGGGCGAACCAATTGCCTGGAAACTGCTATCGACTGCATCTCGCTTGAGTCAAGCTTTGCTTTGAGTATGCTGGTCTGTCTTTTTTTTGCGTGACTGAGCTGTTCTTGTAATATTGGGTTTTTGTTCGGCTTGGGATGAGCAAGCTGGAGCATGCGTATGGCCATACCACAAACCAATGGTTGGAGATAGAAGTTTCCTTGCCTAGGAGAAACCTTGCTCCCCGCCCTTACCCACCTGAAAGGCTCTAAGAACCATGAGACGTTTCTAAGAGCCATTCTAGTAGAAACCTTGCTCCCCGACGAGGAGTCCGGGCATTTGGCGGCACGTTTGAGTGCGCTGGCTGTCCCCCAGCAAGAGCTGCAGGCGCGGAAGGTCGCTTAGGTGCGACATACGAATCAGGGGAAAAAGTAGAGGGCACAAATCGGCTGTGGGTAAGGGGTATGACCAACCAGGCAGACTGCCATCCGCAGAACACATTGTAGTGGTAGAATTGGTTCCAGAAAGCAAAAAGGCAATTGGACGGATAAGTTTTCAAATTGCTTGTTCCCACTGTTTAGCACGCATTGTGGGATGGGTCGAAACATACCATCCCCATTTGAGAGTATCATGTGTGCATGTGTGTATGTGCGAATGTTTGTGTTGGCGCTGTCATGTTTGTAACTTGGGAAGCCGGGCATGGCGCGGCTGCCATTACAAGGCGCAAGTTTACAGAAGTTTGCGCGCTATCAGACGATGTGAATGCGTGTAAATGTTGGCAGCTGACGTATGCGCATGAGCAGTAGCAGAAGCAGCCACTGAGTTTCACACAGGTTTATAATTGGTTTTGTTCAAACTCGATGAACTCTCACAGGCAGTCGATTTCCCACGTGATGTCATTAGTTATCTATATATATATATATATAAATTTATATGTATATCAAATACATATGAAGGAACATTCCTAAGGAGCTACAGGAGTTTCGATTTGCTTCGCTGGGCTTCTCCAAGCTTAGACTGGGCTTATCCAAGGCTTATCCAACAGAATCGGGTCTAAGGGCTTATCCAGGAACAGGGAATCTCGTCGTACCAGTGGGGCAAAACTCCAGGAAGTAAAACTTGCTTGAATTGGGCTCAAATTAGGCGTATGTTTGCTGAGAAATGCTTAAATGCCGCTTACACATGCTTTCCCCTTAAAGGGTTAGGCTAGATTCCCCAAACCTTCCGAATTTTACTTCCTGGAGAATATCCTGGAGATTTGTTAGTTCAACATTTATGAGGATAAGGGGAGTTTTTTTTGAGAGGTGTACGGTAGAGCCCCTCCTCCCCCTTCAGATGGCATCACAGGAGAGCTGCCGAGCGCTGCGGGAGCTGGTTGAGGAGGGGTCGCTTTGGCGTGGGTGGTGCCTGGATGCACAAGCTTGACTTGGGTTCTGGGTACTGGTGTGTTTTCGACATCAGGCAATTCATATTACATATATATATATATATATGTATCTGTGTATATATCATGTATGGTCACGTATATGTGTAGTATTATCCAGAACCCCCCCGCCCCCCCGTCGATTCACAACAGCTGCGGAATTAAATTTGAGGCAGTTAAGGCAATCAAGGCAGTCAAGGCAGTTGGCCAATTCATTGCAGTGAAGCTAGCACTATCTTTTGGCATTTGGGTACTTTGGCAATTGGGTCAAACGGCTGTCGCAAGATTCGTGTTTGAGATTGTTTGTTTGCAAGCTTGTAGCTGTTCAATATTTGTTGTGCTGTATCCGCATGTTCCGCGCTCACGGCTGCAGGAGCTGCAGAGCGAGCAAGGTGCCAACGCCAGCACTTGAGAGCTTGTGGGACGATGGGAACGAAAGGCTTGGGTGCGAAACATCTCATATCTGGGGGTCTCCTTTGCAGTTTTTGTGTTTTTAGGGTAGACAGAACCTGCCACGTGTTTGGCTGTTTTTGTGTATCCCAGAGTTGGGCCAATATTTTTTTAAAGGACACCTGAAGAAAGATGACTTGTTTTTATTGGAGGGCCGTTTGTTTCCGATCGCTTCTTTTTGTTAAAACAGTTCATTTCTCTACTTTTTTTTTCTAGACCCTGTATCTGCATTTTGCCCCTAGCCAGTTTTGTGTGTTTGCTGCAGTCTCGGTGTGGTGGTTGCACGGCTCAAAAAGCCATCTGGGGTCTGCCTATTTTAGCGAGCTCACCGATTCCGGGGGCAAAACGAGCGATTGGCCATGATTAGGGTCCTTGACTCTTGGATCCAACTCTTAATTCAGCTTTTGGGAATATTGTACGATTTCCAGATGCGGCGTGCCACACATACTGCGGATGGACAACATCCTGCACCAGTTGGTGAACTATCCTATTTCAGTCATCCAGGCTGGTGCAGGATTTGTCCATTCACAGTGCCCCTTCTTGAAATTCACATTTGAGATGGGCAACTGACGTTTAAAGGGCCTTCCCGTTTGTTTGAGAGGCGAAGGGGGAGTCATGTGGGGATACCGCCAAAAGGAATTTCTGGGTCAGAGTTGGGGCTTGCTTAATTATTAAGTGGTGTTTTCTCGTATCTTCTCGTCTGAATGGGCTCTCCCCTTTCAGTGAACAAAGATCTTGCTAAGCGGCAATGTCTGAGTAAGGGAATTGAACCGCAGCAAACAAGCATCCATTTCAAAATATACACTAACATTGCTTCATGCGGGCCTTGTCCTGTTTAGAGTTGTTACTGATTATGGTGAATAGCGTTCCTTTCGTTGTGGAGATCTTTTCCTGGACCACTTCTCTGTTATATATCCTTGTAATAGCTACCTGAGCTAGTCCAGCCCGCCTTTTTAAAAGGGTTGGTTTCAAGTGTGTCCAACAAGGAGCCTCATGCTTTGCAATTTCGTAGCTGAAAGCTTTTGCCCAGATAGGCTGGGGTGGTTTGGGGCAGCTATCAGGGAGCGTCTCTTGGTCCCGTTCAGATTTGGTTCCGTCCTCCGCGGCTGTTGAACAACTCCAAGGTCTCATTTGGATGTCATCGCCTCGGATTCGGCGGTTGAACAATTCCAAAAATTCGCCTAGGATTTCAGCCTGGGCTTCGTAGCCCTTCACCTTGACTGCTATTGGGTTGGATCTTTGGACTTGAACTTTTTAGGAAGTAGAGGTGTTTTCCGCTAAACAAAAGTTAAACTTTTTGCACGGGGTCACCAGCAACCAAGTCACCGACACCTCCGACGTTTCTTTTTCGCCGAAGTCCTAGGCGCGCAGGCGGCCAAAGCGGCTGCCCAGCAGGAAGAGATCACCAGCTGGGCAGTGAGACGAGAGGTCTGGGAGGCGGACTCCGGTGAAGTCCCGGTCTACCGAATCGAACGTGGGGATTGTTCCATGACCCCTGGATTTTGGACAGAGCCCATGTTCAAAATTTGTTTTTTGAAGGACTAGAAATCAACATGAGGAATTCCACGACCTGATTTTGGGTAGTTGACCCCTTGTTTGATTCGGATCAGAAGGAGAGCCAGGCCAGGCAACCGGACTTGCCCAAAGAAACATCGACCGGAGCTTCTGGTTTCCCTGTCGGCCATTCCAAAAGGCGATGAGACAAATCTCCGTGTCTCAATTTGAGGGGCGATTCATGTCCAGCGCGATCTCCAGTAAGACCCAGTTCCCAGTTCCGGGCCTCTTTCATTCTTGCGCCATGAGTTCATGGCATCTGCAGTTCAGTTGACTCGAACAGGGCTCCCTCTTTCATTTGTGGGCCATGATTTTTGTTTATGGCATTTGATGCGCCTGTGTTGGGCTGGCTCAAGTTGGACGCCAGGCTGAGCAGCAGTCCCAGAGATGTGAGCTGCAGGAGGAGGGCTGGGGCATGCCGGATGAGGTGGATGAAATATGAAGCAGGGGATTCAACGTAAGGGTGTGATAATTCAATATACCATGGTCAAAATCACTTCGTGCCAGTTGGCATTTGGGGTTCAAACCGGGATTTATCCAGAATAACCGTTGCCTGACAGGGGTTTTGGAACCACAGTATCTACCAACGAAACAACAACTAGGTCCCCCAGTAGTGCCCTTTTACCGTTTCTGTTTAGTTGGGACGGTTCCCCTACGAAAATAGACTACAGAAAAAAGGGTACCATTCGAACCTCTCTACTGGAGGACCTAGTCAATGATTTTGGTTGGCATTCATGCATTGAAAGGCAGTATTTGGGTCAGCTCGAGGCTTTTGTCCAACAGTGCGAGAATCAATGGTGCCATAGACTCCTTCCCCCCTCCCCCATCGTGAGCAAGGAGAGGCAAACAGGATTGTGCTCACGAGGAAGCCAAAGGCAGCGGCTTTGAGAGTCCCTGCGGCAGCTTGGGACGTTTTGACTTCTCCATGAATCAAATGACGACCCTTTGGATTATTTTAAGGGTACCCTTTTCAGATCGGTAAGAGAAACACAGCCAGAACATCTCCTTTGGGGGGCATACCCATGGCTTGAAAGGGTCTGGTGACATCCTAAGCTGGTGGAAGGACAAGGCTGCCAGGGTCAAAACCCGGGCAGAAGGTTGAGGGGCAGTAGCCAGACATAGTTTCAGCCATGCCGGCGTTTGATCTTACTCGGCTCAAACCATGGGACCTAGGTCTGCGGAAAGTGGTCCACCAGGACCCGCTCAGGTTCTATGTCTTTTGGCAGGGTACTGGGTGTTGGGTTTCAGCCTTGTCCAAACGAAAGTGCACACGCCTCCAACTCAGTCTCAAAATGGGGGAACCCTTGGTTTTCAAAGCCAGGGTCCAGAACAAAAGGAATCCACCACGATTTCCTCGGGCCACGTATCATTGGGCAAACTTGGGTTCCAAGCAAAGCTTCCAAATGGTTGCTCTTTTGAGGCTTCCCTTTTTGCGGTTGGTCTTTTCAGGAAAGGTCACGGTATCCACAAAAGTCAAGCCCAAGTCTTCAAAACAAAGGGAACTGTTGAAAAGCCAAGGGAAACTCGGAGAAGCCAAGGGAAATCTCAAAAGTCTTCAAAGCCAGGGGAACTTTAATTGAAACCCAAGGGACGCAAATCAATCCCAGGGGGCACCTCTTTTTTTTAGGGAGCCTTTTTTTAAATAACCCAAGAGAATCTGGGGGAACCCAAGTTGGGGTCTCTTCCAACAGCTCCCAGGAGCTTCGCCTTCCAAAGGACAGCTCACTCCCACACAAATCAAACCCAGCAGGCGCACCTATTTTTTCTGGTGTTGCCCCAAGGGAAGCCTGGGGGAAGTTCCCCACGTTGGAACCTACGGCTCCCAGTCCCAGGAGCTGCGCGAAGCCCAGCGCTGCCAGCCGCAGCTCCAGCGCTTGCTGTCGCTGAAGGGCGCGGAGCTGTCGGCGCTGAGAGGGGCGGAGCGGCGACAGCTGGCGGCCCAGGCGGTTGTGGGCGGGACGGGGGACGGGACGCGCGGCGGAAAGGGCAGGCGCTCCAGGAAAAACCCAAGGGGGGAGGCTATCCTTATTAACCCTTATTGAGGGGTTATTAACCCTTACTGCAACCGCAACCCCTTATTAATCCTCATTAACCCTTATTATTTCCTTATTAACCATTATAAACCCTTTATCCTCTTTATCCGTTGCTTATCCTGCACTTTTCCAGGGCTAGCCGCCCCCCCCATCAGAGAGTTCCAACAGAAATTGGGGGGGGGAAACCACCCCAGCCGTACCTTCATCCAACCACAACGAGGGTCTTATCCCATCCTCTCAACCTTCCCTCGCACGCTGGGTAACTCCTCGACAAGAAAGGCTGGCCTCACAATAAACCAACATGAGATGAGAGAAGCTTCCCGGCCGCATGCAAGGATTGACTCTGGGACCAAAAGGAAAATGGCTGGAAAGTGAGTGACTGGGACGCCTGATCAATTCCCGCCAACACGACAAGCAAACAAGCCCATCATCTTAATCTGCAGCCCCCATGGCGTCCCCTTCTGTATTATCAAGGGGGTTTCCCTTTTCAGTGGGGAACCCTTTCTCGGCTGGAATAAGTTGATTCATGAAAAGGTTTGAGGATAGTTTGGTTAGACATAGATGGCCGTATGCCAGGGCCATCTATGTTACAAAAAAAAAAACCAACATGGCCACTTAACTGATTATACCAGATAGCTTTCGTGAGATCCGCAGGGTGTCCAGTTGATACTTTGCAAACCGAAAGAAAACCTGAAAGGGTTGGAGTTGAAATTTGCAGACCGAAATAGAGGGGGGGGGTGCAAAATAGACACCAACGTAAGGGGGGAGAGTGCGGGTCCAAGCTTGGGACATTTCATCTCTGTCACGTTTGGTTTAAGGACTTGGCAAGCCTTGCGCCTTGCTAGTATGCTAGTGCTAAGCAAGCCTTGGTAAGTCCATAAAATTAAATGGGGAATACCTTCAATCAAGGGTGCACGTAAACCCGGATGTAATTGACGTTCACCACAGAGTCCCCGGAACCTGCTCTGGCCGTTTAGAGCGAGCTTCCTTTTGACGAGGTAATTTTTTAAGGGAGACATATATTGGCATCCCCTCAGGCTGTATCGTGCTCATGACTCCTGACTTGTCGACAGATGGGTGTGTCTCAAATACAGAGGGCCCGAAATGGAACCCTTGGCAAACGGTAGACTAAAACCTGCGGTGCCCTGCTCTAGCATTTTGAGCCACCAGATGTTCTTTGTCCCACTGCACCGCCCATTGCAGTCCTGGCAGAACCTGCACCACCCGCACGTGTGTTCTATTTGCTGTACAAATTGTGGGGGATGCTGGGCCCCCGTTTTGAACTCCAAAGACGTCTTAAGAGACGAACTCAGACACAGGACTTGGAGCGCTTGCTTCGCAGGAGACGGTCGCCATGTCTGGAAAACCACATTGGCTCCTCCTCAAATAGAGAACACAAACTGGTTATGCCTTTCCTTCGCGCGCTAAGGTGGGTCTCTAAATTCGAGAGATTGATCCTGAGGGCCTCAAGTTCCAAAGATCCTGAGGGAATTCCCGCACGACACCTTGCGTGCCGATTCAACATAAACGCTCTGTTGGTGTGGGGATTGGAGTATTGACACACCGTTTCATCAGCTCCATATCCGGGGAAGCTTCAAAAAAGCACCGGACGGTAGCTGGGAATGAAGCCGCAGAAGGAGATAGAAGCTCAGGGTCCCGTGAGGAAGGCCGAAGTTGGAAGACCCATCGCGGACTGAAGACCCCCGCATGATGATTGGAGTCGCAGTGCTCAAGTACTCCTGGAGCCCAACCCAAAAGTCGGCGACCGCAGGGTCCCAGGTTTCATCTCAGTTTCGGCAGTATGAGGATCATGGTCGTGCGGACAATTGGGTTTTAGGGCCAGGTTCTATGATGCCGCACTTTTAAAGTGACATTCTATAGGCATGGGAATGAGCAAATTTGGCATGCACAGTCCCAAGCTTTTCCACAACCATCTCAAAAGCTCTTCGCAAAATGAACGAGCTCTCTAGGTGGCTTCCCGTCAAGTCTGCCACTTTTAGGACTCAGTCCAGCCATTTTTAAAAGCCCAGCAGGCCATGTCTTTCCCTCAACTAGTCTCCTGGCGTAGCACCCATGATTGGCTCGTTCCCCCTTTCCTGGAACGCTCATGTGTCTTTTCTGTTTTTCGGGAGCCCCCTTTTTGGGGTGGCCTCAACGCGGAACGAGGACCTATCACCCACAGGTTTTGGGAGGGTCCAACCTAGAAGCCGTTGGCGCCCAGACGTTTCCGTCGACGCCCGAAACGGGAGGTGCGGCTGCAATCGGAGCTCCGGGAGCGCCAGCTACTGGCCATGGAGAAGCTGCAGGCGACTGCGAGCCGTTGACTTCTGGACGAAGTCCCCCAGTGCCCTTTCTTGCCAACTTTTTTGCGGGAGTGTTCTACTAAAATAGACTACAGAAAAAATCGGGTACCCTTTTTCTAAGCTCGATCTCTACTGGAGGACCTAGTGGACCTTTTCCTAGGCACCGCCTAAGACACCCGTGTTTCTGATGATTCCCAGGGTAAATACCAACAAAGGTTACGGTTTCCCATGTTTTCAGAGTGGTGCGATTTCTGGATTTCGCCCATCCACAACCCCCCTTTTCGTTGGTTCCCCGTTGGGTCTGGAGGCAAAAAGGGACCTAAGCCAGGAGTTCTGGTTACGGACATGGTAGTATGCATTCCTTGTCCATTTGGGAAAAGAACCTTTTCTTTGAGGGGACCCCTGTTACATGTTTTTGTTTGGGGTAATTTTAATACCAGGTCTTGATCATGACTCCCTGGCACAGGTGGATTTTTCTATGGCACCATTCCCCGTTTTGTCGGTTCCCAGTTGAGTTTGGAGGTATTGCCTCCAGAAACCTCTTGCCGCTTGGAAGAGCCGGACGTGCAGGTACCCAAGTCCAAGTGTACCATCAGGAGTTCTGGTCTTCCAGTTGCTTAACACTAATTGAATATTTCCCCCTGTTGGTTTTAAACGGAATCTATCACTACAGGATTTTCCCCCAGTTGGTTTCGAAGCTGCAATCTATTACTGCAGGAACTAGTTTTTGTTGTGTTTTTTCTTCTGCGGGATTTTGCACATGGTAGTTCTTTGCAGGGGAATTGGCCTTTGCCAGGAAAAGGAGGAAGAGATTCGTGCCTTGCGCGGGAGCCGCCGCGCATGAGCTTGGATTTCTCGTTTCTTGTTTTTCAGGTAGATAGCCTCGGGCCGTGTGTTTTGCCAGCGCTATGCTAAACACACCAATCTTGTAAGTTTGTTTTTTCACTGCCCCCGACTTCTTGGAGAGAGTGAAACAGTTGGTGAAATTCACAGTTGGGGCATCCCACATGCTAACATGTTGTCTAGCTATCTGGTACACCCGCTCAGGGTCCAACCTATTTGGCTGTTACAGTCATGTCATGAGCTTTTCAAAGAGGAGATCACTCCCAGAATTCCTGGACTTAAAGGTTTTTTGGGAAGACCATTTGGGTATGGGTCAAAATTAAACCACCAGGGGACAGCAGATTGTAGTCTATGTTTCCATTTACCAAAGCTCCGGTTTGGGTAATTACACTTTGACTCGCCCCCATTTCAGTGGCAACAGGTTTTGACTTTATCAATTCACTAAAAGAACGTGAGGACTTTCAGTAAAGATTTGTACAGGGAGCAAATCCACAGGCGTTGTGAGACATGGCACATTAGCTTTGCGCCGGCTGGCGCGCGCGCCAGCGGCCTGTCAATAATATTGGCCGTGGTTTCTAGTGCCAAGGAGTGCACAAAGTGGAGTGCACAAAGTCAAACAAGATCTAGTTGAGTGGCACCGTCTTTCCACGCAAAACACACCCAAGAGGGGGGGTCTCATGACTTTGAGCTTCTTCTGGACACAAAGAAACCTTGGCTGGGGTCACACTCAGGCACTCATACGGGAAACATGAGTGCCAAAGCTAATGCCAACAAAGCTGCAAAGGCTTATCAGCTTTGCTTTTCGTGGGAAGGTTGCCTTACGAGGCCCCGGGCGGCGCAGGATTTCGAACGAGAAAAGTGAGCGATGAGTTTGGAGTGAGCTCGAGCTCACCTTGAGAAGTCGCCCGAGCGATGAAACGACTGCATCCCAAAATTGAGGACTGGGTTGGCAGGATGTTGGAAGCAAAATCCACTACCGCATGTTTCGGAAGCACCAAAAGCCTACGATGTGTTGGTTTTCCCGGGTTTCTGGCGACCTCCAGCAGCCATCATGTTTGTTCTTACGCCGCCTTGCCGCACACTGGCAGCAAACACGACAAATGTAGGCGACGCGTAGAGTTAATGTGTTTGAACATGGCTCAGAACATGGGCAAACAGACGCACACAATCGACGAGCAAGCCTATGAAAGCCCGTTCCAGTCTGGGTGTCCGAAGGCAATACCTAACGTGCCCATCAAGAGCTTGCAAAATGGTGTGGCCACTTTGCGCGCTATACATAGGCCGCTTGCGGTTGCAAGCACAGCTAAGGTTCGGTCAAAGCAATCACTAGTGGTTAATTGGAGCCGAGGCACATGGGACTTACGAGTTGTCCCACAACTTCCAGAGCGTCTCTTTGAATCATATTGGCGGAACAGATAGGTAGATAGATAGATAGATAGATAGATAGACTCAGTTGTTCAAAGTCGACCTTTCGACCTTTTGGTTTTCCCATTTTGGTCCATTTTAAGTAAAGGTCCCAAAAGGTTAACCGGTTGTTTCCAGGCCCTTTGGGCAACTGAGTTAGACAGATATGGCCATGGTTCAAAACCAATGGGATCCCATTTTGGTTGGTAGGTGCACCACCCATGTTAGAACCGATTTTGGTGGTTGGATTGGGATGTTCACTGGGGGTACGATTTGGGTTTTGACCCACAGCCATATAGTTAGAGATCGATACATGTTTGCTTCACCTCTGCATGTTGTTTGCTCTTTTGTCTCGCTGCCAGTTGCAGAAGCTCTTCACGTCTGTGGCCTTCACTTGCCTGGGCCAACCGGTGCCGAAGGATGATGAGAACCTTGCCCCGGCCCGAGGCGTAGTGCCCTCCCCCCACCCCCCCCCCCGCCCGCTGTCCCCCAAAGGGCCGGGGCAAGGAGCATTCAACATGAGTCATTTTCAGTTTCCTTCAAAGTTCAATTCAGTAGCTGGGGTAGACTTAGGTACAAGCGACTCAAAGTGCAGCAAACTTAAATAAACATTCTGCTGGTTGCCAATTCGATTCATGGCAAGGCCTAAAGCCGGAAGGTCGATGGGTTCTGGGTGCCCGCCAGCTGCCCCAAGGGGCAGATTGGACGACAAGTATCTAAGCTTACCGATCCGGGTGAAGCGAGCTCGCCCATGAAGATCCTTTACGGGTGCCGGGCCCGGGAGGGGGCTTTGGGGGGGAATTTTGTTGTTTGCAGTTACGAATTCGAGTACTTTGCTCAGAGATTGATGTCTCGAAATGCGGACAGTGCCCCTTTGTTTGCCGTCAGAAGGACCCCAAAACGGTTCAAAGAAGACCAATCCATTTGGGTATGCCCCAAAGTGGGACTCTGAGGATTTGGACGGACAGCTGAAGTACCTGCAGAACTACCGCTTTCTGGTGCCCTGGCCAAATCCGGGCCGATGGACGGGAGGTCTGGGCAAATTTCATCAAGCTCACCGAGTCAGGCGGTTACTTTTTCAGTTTGGTCATTTGCCCAGACGCGTCACAGATTCGCCGGTATGTACACCCAGGGTGTTTGACTGCTTTGGGTTCAAGGCAAAACGAAGCGAGAGGCGTTTGCTTTCTCAGGGGACCTAAGATCTTGCATATACCCTTGCAACAACCGCTGTGCACAGACCGTTTTTTTGGCACCACTCGACGACTGCTATTGAAAAAGGAGGGGTATGCACCGAAGGGTCAAATGGGTCAAGCGATCGCCGCATCGGCCTTCAGTTAACCCACGACATGGCTCAAAGAGCAATCTGGAAGTGCTTCAAATTGAGGACCCTTTGTTGCTGCTTGCCGAAAATAAAATAAATATATATATATATATATAGTTTCACCAAAAGAGGGGTGTCCCTATTTCTGGTAGAGCTAACTTGCAATCTATCCCAGTGAATCCATTCACCCCTAAAAAAAGACTGCAAGGAAAATGGCTGGTTACGGTAGGGGCCTGCTACCCCCTGGCCGCAGCATCTGCGAACCAATCTGTTGCTCAGTGTGACAACTTTGCAATCAGGATGCCGGTGATATGTGCAGTCCCGAAGGTTGTTGGCTTTTGGGTCTAGGGCTTGCATCTTGAGGCTTTAGGGGTGTCCCGTTAAACCACCATGAGGTATTTTTGAGGATGTGAACTTTGTTGGATCCAGTTTAGAAGGGTTTCAGACAGACATCCGAACTCAAGAGTGCCCTGACAGCATGCTTGAGTCGATCTGCAAATATCTTCCCTTCCGGCAAAAGTTCAACCACTTTGAGGGGGTTCCCTTGTGCCAACCAATTTCCTGGAGGGGCCGAACAACAAGTTCAACCAAACGCCCGCCAAACCAAGGGAGTTGTAGAGTTTAGAAGTATCCCGGAGCCGATCTTGCAGAAAATCCACACCACATGACCCCATACAGGAATTTGGACATTGGACACCTGTGACCTGTCACTGTGTGGACAAGCAGGGCGAGCCCTGCTCATTCTCGAATAAAGAATCTGCCGGGTAGACACCAGAGGTTTTTCTTCCTTTGGTTTTCCTTTATGACTAACTTTTGGTTTCCCCGATCGGTCACATAATGCCAAAAGGTTCGACGTACCGTGAGACAAAGAATTCTACTTAGATGGTCTGGGAGTTAGCTAAGTGGTTAGTAACCCTGGTTGTAACTGTAACTCACTCAAGCCATGGTTGCAAGTCCCCCAAAATGCAGGGTTCCACGAAGGGCATGAAGGGAGCTCGGGTTCAGGTCCCGGGACATCCCCAAGCGAGGCCTGGACAAGTCCCCAGATCGATGCACTTGCTCGCAAGGGCACCTGGAGAGCGAGCGAAAGCAACAGATGACCATCTTCCCACTTGCCAACGTGCACCTAGGCATTTCTGACACACGCAGCAAAATAAGACCGAAACAAACACCCCCCCAAAAGCAAACAACCCCTCATCCCCCGCCCCCCAACCCTGGCGCCCCAAGAGAAAGCAGCAACAGGCAGCACCTCCAAGCAAGCGCAGACCAAAGAAGCACGCAATACGACATACGCAAAACGCTGACACTACAAACACCGAGACAACCGGCACATAGCAACAGAACAAAATCCAAAACTGAAGACACCCCCAAACCAAAAAGAAAAAAAAGCGAGAAAGAAGCACTGTGGCACCCCCTCGCCAAGAATCAGAAAAAAAACACCACAAAAGAGAACTGCCAAAACTCACCCGGGCAAACAAAAACCAAGCGCAGAGCCACAAAACCTCGTGCCACGCGCAGAAAACACGCCGCGCGCTGCCCGGCTGGGCAGGATGCGGCTCACCAGCAGCTGCGGCAGCAGCAGCTGGACGCGGCCTCGCAGCAGCAGCAGATGGCCCAGCAGCGGGTGCAGGCAACGCGAGGGAGCGAGGGAGCGAGAAGCTCCGCGGGAGCGGAGTTTCTGCGAGTAGCAAAAGACGTCCAGCTGCTGAAATGCTTATTGTTATTATCATTATTATCATCATTATTATCATGTTTCCAGTTTGTTGGTTTTAAAGAGAATCTCCCACTGCTGGATATATATATATTTGTTTTGTTCGGGAGACTTAACCAAATAGAGGAATAGGTTGAAAAGCAGCTGGTGGTTGGGAGGAAGCCGGACTCCAGGCTGGGGATATCCAAACTTCAAAAAAAACAAACTTTCGGAGCTACCAGGACCTGGTTGGTAAACAGGGGTTTGAACATGTTTCGATGGCACCCCGTTTGCAACAACCGCCCTGCAAGAGGGTTGCATTGATTTTGCTCCCCAACCAGTGGGTTGAAATTTGGGTCTGTCGAGCTTGGATTCACAAGCAGATTCAGTCCGCTTGTCAGTTCAAACCTCCAGTGGTGGCTTTCCCCAAAGAGGTTTTGGTCTTTGGGGCAAGCAACACGCGGAACTCCAGTTATGCATTTCCTGTTTTCTGAATCTTGGAGAGGGTGCCACCCACAACAACACAAGAGGTATCCCCAGCAACGCAGGAACTCGCCATCAGCTCCAAACCGCACCAGCTACCCAATCCAACCGCAACCCCGAGCAACCCGGCCGAGTTCCGGAAGTCTTCCGGACCCCGGACCCCTCCGGAGCATGAAATACCGAGGGAGATGCCGGTAGCTTGCGATTGGGGGACAAAGGTATCCTGAGGTGCCGGAAACTGAGGCCTTCCGGTGACCGCCTGACCCTTGGGCAAGCCCAAAAGCCGACCTCAAAGAAGGCCGTCTGCCATACTGCACGCACAGACTTCCCAAGGATTGGTTGCAGGGGTCTTGGAAAGCATGGCCCTTTCAAATGCCAGTCCCCAAAACGTTACCTGCGAAGTGATGGTGGCTTAAAGGAAAACCACCCAAGTACATAATGCCTAGAACTCCCTCAAATGACCTGGCGTCTGCGTTCCCATTGGCAGGGGCACTTGGCCAAGTGTTGGTCTATTCGCCAACCAGAATTTGGTTGAGATTCCCGCCCTCCGCTTGGGATTTGTGCTTTTTTGGTGCCATTGCTAAATGGTTTAGCTCGGTTTCAAGATGCAAAGCAAAACGACCACTTGTCCCCCGCCCATTTGGGTGTTTTTTTTTAAAAAAATAGGGACCCCCAACACGGTGGTTTCCTTTTTAACTTTAAGCCCATCCAGCTTTTGGGTTTCCCGTTTTGAGAGACACTCATTTGAGGACACAAAACCGCGGCCCCCTGATTGAGAGGCGCAAGCACAGGCGCAGGTGCAGCAGGTGCAGCAAGCGGCGGCCCTGGTGCAGAATGTGGCGCACAACCCCCCACAGGCGCCGAACGAGAGCTCGCTGAGGCTCTCACTTCCTGAGGTTCAGTTCGCCATCTAAGCCTCAGCCACTATTGAGAACTTGTCTGTGTTAGTCTATTCAGGCTCTGGACATGTTACCCTTTTGGAAAACCATGGCAAGCCGAAAGCTTGGGCTCGGGCTTATGACGAGCTTCAATGAAGCGGTAGGAGCTGGGGCCCGTGATGAAGGTCCTTTGCTATTTGCGGGGAATTCCAGCAATTGCGCGAGAAACTTTGGCTGTGGGTGATTTCTGATATTGCCTCGACGATGACGATAATGTTTTTGGATTTTCCGCTCAGCTTGGCCGCTAAGCCGATACAGTTGCTGGTTCTGTTGCTTGGATGGGGGGACAAAGCCCAGCTGGTTTAGTCACAGGGCGTTTTACAAGCTTTCGGCTGGTGGTAACCCTGGCAATAGGGGACTTACTCCACTTGCCTAGCTTCCAGACCATGTAAAGTAGGTGTTTCAGTGGTTAAGTCTTGATAATCACCTGCTTGCAAGTGTTCCAGTTCTGGCCGCAGGGGTGCAGTGTGTGCAACAGGAAGTGCGGGGCAGGGCATTCGTTACAATACACCATGCAACATATACTGTACCATGCTACAGTGGTTTTGCTTCAGCGGTATATCGTATAAGTAGTGTCCCGTACTGTTGCTGGTTTGGTTCACCTGCAACCAAGTTTAGATTATGCATGAACAGATACATTTTAGCGTCTTTGTACCTGCAAGCATGAACAAGTCCCGTTTCCTTTCTTGGTGCAAATACTTCTCTGACTGCAGCTCTGGCGGCCCTCGACCGGGTGCTTTGGCCATTAGTTAATGTGGTGGGCCCGGGTTTTCCCTTGTCCAAAGACACAAACACATTTCGACCTGAGCGCGGGGACAAGAGGTACCAGCAACAGACATTGCGGAATGGCCAATTGATTGCGGGGAGTAGAACCAAGCAACAGGGTGCTCCCAAGGCCTCTCCTCCAAAGCGATCTTAGATTTTAAAGTATGTTGACTCAATGGGAACCCCCCAACAAAGTGCGGTTCCCCCCCCCCCCCCGCTCCAAAACAGAATACTCAACACAAACCACTTTGCGGCTTTCCAGTTGGCCTTGGTGTTCCCTTCAAACCAAAAAACCACACCGTGCCCCTGAAAAAGACTCCACGCGCGAACGACGAGCCCATCTCATTCGGCCAGGAGGCACCGCCCGGGCCACCGCAGGCGGGGCTTGGGCCGTGGTTTGAGTCTCCAAAAATTGGACCACGGCAATCTCATCCCCAAGCTGTTGGGGGGTTCTAGGAGTCCCCAAAAACACACACACACCCAGAGTGGCAAGAATTTGTAGATGCCAATTCTGGAATTGGGGGGGGGGGGGGCGGGGTTGTAGGATTTTAGTGGGGGGTTCTATCAGTACCCTAAAGAAAATCACACACACCCATGGTAGTTATAGTGAGTCCCCGAACAGGCCCCCAAAATCACACACACACACAGTGTCATTTGCAATGTCTAGATGAATGCAACTTACAATTCTCTGGAAGGAGCATCATGTCAACATGTGGGTTTTACGAGTGTCGGAAAGGATTATGATTTGAACATGGTGTTTTGCGTTCACTGGGTTCACAATCTGCAGTGTACAATCTCCATAAGGAATGCAATTCCAATACACAGTGCGCAAGCCTTCTGCCAAATTGTCCCACCTCCTGACGCGAGTGCTTTCTGATTTCATGCTGAAAGCCAGCTGCACTCAGCGTTCGGCCTGGCTGTTGTTTGTGTCCTTGAGTAGGGCTCCTTAAAAGATACATTTGCCCATTTGAAACATGGCTTGTTCCGCCAAAATAAAGGGACACCATCATTTACACGGCAATGTTCAGGTGTATAATGTAAGGATCCCTGTTGAGTGCTGCAATCATTTCATTGAATGTACGAGAGGGGTGTTCACCCGAAGGGGACCAGGGAGGCGACACCTTTGTTTGCTGCGGGTCTGTCAGACATGTTGACTGGCAGTTTCCCTTGCCCCTAATGGCCATGAGGGAAAGAACAGTTAAGTAATTAATGGGTTGGTACAGATGGAAACCGCTGGCTGCACATCATTACGATGTGTCACTTTACCTGCGTTCCCTTTGGTGGTCCTGCCTAAGAAGGACTTGTTACGTTCGAGTTTTGAGTTTTCCTTTCAATGGTTGACTGTGATCCTCGCTTTTAAGAAGCTTTCTTGAACTTCAGGCTGCGGGACAGGAAGTTGGCATCATTTTTTCCCCTTGTTTTTCTTCTTTTTTTTTCTCCGAAGATCATCCGGCTAACCAGCTGCGTTTGTGGTACCCGTTTGGGGTTTGTTCGAAAGGGACACTGATGAGAAACCACCAACTCGGATGTTGGCCCCGGTTGAAGTAACTTCCGAGACGAGCCCTTACGTCGTAGAAAGGAAGTTTGTTTTCCAGGGGGTGCGTTCAGTTCGTGGGAAAGGGGGTAACTCATCAACCTGCAAAAGGAACAAGAAAGGAACAGCAGCACGGCCCTGATTGCCCAGATCCAGGGAAGGGTATAATGGTAGACTGGTACCTTAGGGAAAGGAATAGTCTTTTAAAGCTTTTAAACAATCTGAAGGCTGCCCTCAACAAAGCACGCACAGGAATGCTAGGGTCCCTTTGCGGATATGTTTCCTTTTGGCTTCCAGGACATCTGCATTCCAAGTTTCCAGACTTTATGGAGAAAGGGGCCGAGTGGATCCCACTTACCCTTAACTCAGTAGGCAACCAGCCATTTTCCTTTGGGCAAAGGATGGTTCCCTTGGTTACCTACTGTATAAATGGATTCCACTGGGGCGATCCGGTAACCCCCAGTTGGTGGTTCGGTTTGACCCCCTGGTTGTTGTGGAGGATAGATGGGAAGGTGGCCGTGAGTATCAAACCACCATGCTCCAAACCACCAACACTAGAGGGAAGTTGATAGAAAAATGTGTGTCTTGACTGCTATTGGGTTGGATCTTTGGACTTTAACTTTTTGGAAAATCAAGGCGGTTTCCACTAAACCCCAAAAAAGTTAAACTTTGTGCAGGGGGGTCAACAGCAACCAAGGTGTTTTGAAGGTAAACCAAAGGGGATTCCCCGCCCTTTTGAGGCTACGACTAGTTTGACAGCTAGGTCCCCCAGGTAGTGCCCATTTCAACCCCTTTTTTGGGGGCGGGTTCCCCGACTAAAATGAAATAGACTACAGAAAAAGGAAAGGGTACCCTCATTCTAACCTAGCTACTGGAGGACCTAGACAAGCACATGTGTGTCTACCAGTTTTCGACCAACTGCCAAGCTCAAGCCACCCGCAGGCAGCACAGCCCAAGCCGAAGGTGGGACCCCCGGCTCGAAGCCAATCTTGACGGGATGGCACAAAAGGTCAACGAGAGATATGTTGTTCCCCAACAGCTGAAAGCTTTGGGGTCTCTGCCCAGATAGGCTCCGGGGTGGTCCGGGGCGGCCCTGAGGTAAGGTTCCACGAGGGTTCCACCAGGGTTCCAACAGGGTTCCACGAGGTTCTGCGAGGGAAGAGCACGGCATGTTGTTGGGGACGTCACCTGAGCTTATTGTGTTTCTGGAAAAATGGGAACCATAATCTGCAAGTGTCGTGTTTATCTACTGGGCTATGGGAATGTCATTTTTGAGAGGAACCCTTCTCAAAATGGTTGTTTTCCTTTTGGTTTCACTTTAAAACTTGTTCTCAAGATAGTGCTTCTACCCCGTGGTTGATATTTCGAGGGAAACCGAAAGGAACCCACCATTTTCGGGGACTCCTTGGAGAAAAACAAGTGTATGTGAGTGGGATTTTCAGGGGTGCTGTTTTTGGGCTGGAGAAAAAAGCATTTGGAAAACAATATGTTGAGGGTCCCCCGCCATTTTGAGGTTTGATATCCCGGACACGCAAAGGGATACTGTAGTTGTTGAATTGTTTCAGGTCCCACAATTTGAAACCAATCAAGAGGCACGCATTGGACTGTTGTGGATTTTGGCCCTTTGGGTATGAGTTGGTTCTGGGTTCCATGCTCGGGGCAGTTTACTGCATAGGATCATGACCAATGTGTAAGCCAACTTCAACCAGAAAGCAAAGGGGTCAGACGTCGGCCCATCCACTCATGAAGTGATTCGTATCACTATGAACAACCCAGGCAGCTTTCTCTCTCGCCAGGTGTTCAACGTCTTGCATAGAGCTGGAAGTTTGCCTTTGTATTGGGCTGAGCTGTGACATGTGGCAGAGCTGAGTGAATTTCACGCACTCCCCTCTCCCCCCCTTCCCCCCAAAGCAGGCTCAAATCTGTATAATGTATACGCGAAATTATTTACTGGGGGTATCATGTTGGTATCCTTTAAACCCAACCAAGCTTTTTTGGGGACCCCCCAAAAATTGTCGGTTTCACGTTGATTTCCTTTAAAACCAACCAAGTCGGGGGTACCCCCAACAACTGGCTCCCCGAAATGGCTTGAGCGCTCGCACCAGGCGGTGCCGGCCAATGCAGCCAATGCAGGCCGGACGCTGTGGTTTCCAGGGAAGCCGCAGAGTGATAACCAAGGAAAACCACGGTGAAACCTGGAGGTGAACATGTGACTATGACTTTTGATCAAGGGACCCTTTGCTGAACATGATTTAGGTGGAAATGTTCATGTCCACCCATCACTTTTGAGATGGCTCCCTACTGAAATTCCTGGCCATGTAAACACACCGGCTATATCCCTTTTGTATGGCTGTCCCACTCGCGAAGGAAGCCATGGATTCGACCAGTTGTAGCTCATTGTTTCCCAGGTCCTTCAGGCTGAAGGACTCTACTTGTCGACCAAGCTCTCAAAGTTGTGTTTGAAGGACCGATGTATGAAGGTAAGACGTACCCACCAAAAAAAAAAGCTCACATCCAGGTTTCCCCTTTGAGCTGCTGGCCGAAATGGGCGTGAAACATGGCGTGCCTTTCTTGAAGGGTACCATCTCGCTTTTTGTTTAAGGAGGGAAAGACTCTCTGG